GCAAGGAACAGTAAAGCGTCATGGAACCTCTGAAGATAGGTAAAATGCCTGTTACAAATCCTGTCTAGATACTTGATACAGTATCCACATGTGTACAGATACAAATTAACCACTTTAAGGTTCAAAGCTAACTGTGGCTATAAAGTAGCTGCAGAGTATCCAATATAATTAATTAAGTCTCAAGTCTATAGAGTTGAATAAGTTTCAGAAAGGTGGACTATAATAATGTCCAACTAGTGCTGTGTAACAAGAATAATTATCTCTGGCTGGTCTACACCTCTTCAGCCACTAACAGTTTTATAGTAAGTGGTATAGACTCTATCTCCTCAACAAGTAACTAGGGGTAGAATTGAACTGCCGTACTTACTCAATAGGCATAACTGACTTCTAAAAGCTGAGCTGTATAAATTGCAGAGAGGTGGACTAGAGAAATGCCCTGCTCTTGCTGTATAAAGAGAAATTCCTCCAGGCAGTCCACACCCTCCTCAGCCACTATCGGTCTTAAAATAAATAGTACCTACTCTGTCTCCTTAGTCAACAACTAAATGTAGAATAAAACTGATGTGCTCACTCTAGAGACATGGAGGACTTCCACATCTGAGAGCTCTACTAACAGCTAATAAAGGTGAAGTGTCCCAAAAAAATAAAGAAACCATAACGCCTAACGCGTTTTGGCGCTGCTCAAGCACCTTTTTTTCTTTTGAGTGATTAGTTTTATTTGTTTATTATTATTTTTTTTCTTGTGTATTTCTGCAATCAATAAAGTATGTTTTTTATTAACTTGGATTAAGACTCTAAGATATCCAACCCATGATCTTGGATCTTGTTTTTTGGACCCTTGATCATTGTGATAAGGTGAATGGGGTGGTCTGTGAGGGAGTCTATATCTCGACAGAATTGTTCAGAGAGGCATATGATTTTTAACCCCAGGGGGAGTGTATGTTTCTGTGTATGTAACCAGAATGAGTATTTAGTTATGGGCCCCTGGGGTGGAGCATTTGGAGAGCAGGGTGGGCCAGTGCTCCACTCCGCAGTTTAGCGGTTTTCTTGGAAGACTTAGATCCAGCCCAGGGTTTTGGACTGTCTCCAACCTACTGCTCAGCTGTAGGTAATCGGCTGCAGCAGTGGGAATAAATCCCTCCCTGCTAGGCAGGTAAGGGAGAATGTTTTGTTTCTCTCTGAAAGGTTGGAAGCAGCAGGCTGGCTAAATACTGGAGTGCTGAGAGTGGACAAAGACTCTAGGTTGGTGAAACCACATTGTTTTGTTTAGTTTAACCCTGAGAGATAGGGAGCCTAATGTCAGTTAGTGCTCAGACGAGCTAGGTTTTTGTTTATAAGGTTTTCTGTTACATTTATGTTTTTCATTTACTGCTGTATCCTGTGTGGAGTTTAACAATAAAGTGACTGGATTATATGCAAAGCAAAGGACTGTGCCTATTGTTTACCCTAGAGGACCGTGCTACCTGCAAACAAGGATCACATCATATTCTCTATTCACTTTATGTTTAGTTAAGGTTACCCCCTATCTGGATATCTTCAGGACACACACACACATTCGCCTAATCTAGGGGTCTGTGTTCTTTTGTTCTTTTGTTTGCAGCTGATGCTCTAAGCCAATCGCTAGTTCCAGGTTCATAAAAATGTTTTACTTTTTTATAAATGGGGATCTAGTGATTGGCTTAGAGTGCCAGCTGACCAATCTGCGGCACCCCTACCAGCGGCACTCTGTGCTTCCTGACACTCAGTATATAAAAGTGAACACATTAACACTGATATTTTTTTTAACTGGGGAGATGAGAAGGTCCAAAGTTTTCCTGCCGGGCCCAGGGACCAAAGCCTTGTGATGTGGTTTCCAGAATGAAGTGAAGGATCACTTCACTTGTCCTTCCTGCTCCAATCTTATTTTCTTCTCCTTCATTTGGCACAGTCTTCTTTTTATTCTGACACTGTCTTCTCTTCTCCTTGGTTCCTTCTGCTCCTTTACCTTTCAGCTTCTTTTGCGCCCTTCTGCTCTTTTCTCTTTCTGATCCCTTTCTGCTACTTTTGCTCCCTTCTGCTCCTTATGTCACTTTCTGCTCCTTGCTGACCCTTCCTGCTACTTGCAGACCCTTCCTGCTCATTTCTGCTCCTTCTCCTACTTTACCTTTGTGCTCCTTCTATCCCTTCCATGCTCCTTGCTTCCCCCTCCTGCTCCTTGCTGACCCTTCCAGCTCCTTGCTGACCCTTTTTGTTCCTTGCTGCCCTTTCCAGCTCCTTGCTGACCCTTTCTGGGCCTTCTCCTACTTTACTTTTGTGTTCCTTCTGTCCCTTTCTGCTCCTTGCTGCCCCTTCCTGCTCCTTTTCCTACTTTACCTTTGTGCAACTTCTGATTCTTTCTGCTTCTTCTGTCCCTTCCTGCTCCTTGCAGACCCTTCCTGCTCCTTGTTGCCCCTTCTTGCTCCTTGCTTCCCCTTTCTGCTCCTTGCTGCCCCTTCTCCTACTTTACCTTTCTGTTCCTTTACCTTTGTGCTTCTTCTGTCCCTTCATGCTCCTTGCTGACCCTTTCTGCTCCTTGCAGACCCTTCCTGCTCCTTATCCTACATTACCTTTATGCTCCTTCTGGTTATTTCTGCTCTTTTACCTTTGTGCTCCTTCTGTCCCTTCCTTCTCCTTGCTGGCCCTTCCTGTTCATTTCTGTTCCCTTCTTCTCCTTCTCCTACTTTACCTCTGTGCTCCTTCTGCCTCTTCCAGCTCATTGCTGACCCTTTCTGTTCCTTGATGTCACTTCTTGCCAATTTATGTTCCTTCTCCTTCTCCTACTTTACCTTTGTGCTCCTTCTGATTCTTTCTGCTCCTTTACCTTTGTGCTCCTTCTGTCACTTTGTTCTCATTGCTGCCCCTTTCTGCTCCTCACTGCCCCTTCTCCTACTTTACCTTTGTGCTCCTTGCTGACCCTTTCTGCTCCTTTACCTTTGTGCTCCTTGCTGACCCTTTCTGCTCCTTGCAGACCATTCCTGCTCATTTCTGTTACTTTCTGCTCCTTCTCCTCCTTTACCTTTGTGCTCCTTGCAGACCCTTTCTGCTCCTTAAAGGGACACTATAGTCATCAGAACAACTTACAACTTAATGTAGTTTTTCTGGTGAGTATAATCATTGCCTTCATGCAAACACTGCCTTTTCAGAGAAAAGGCAGTGTTTACATTACCCCTAGGGAAACCTCCAAGTGGCCACTCCACCGTAGGCAGCAGTGCTGTTCAGCGTCTCCATGCTCTGCATGGGATGCTGAATTTCCCTCATAGAGATGCATTGAATAAAATGTGGGGCAGGGCCAGAGCCGGCAGCCCCACACGGCATTGGAAATAAGGTGAGTTTTGTTAACTTTAAAGGGGTCTAAGAGGGGGAAAGGCACCTAAATGGTGGGCTTTGCACTATAGGGTCAGGAATACATGTTTGTGTTCCTGACCCTATAGTGTTCCTTTAATGTCCCTTCCTGCTCATTTCTGCTCCTTTTCTTCTTCTACTTACCTTCCTGCTCCTTTCTGATCCTTACTGTAAGCTACCCCCCATGCCTCACTTACCTGATCTGTAGGCTGCCCCCATGCCTCACTTACCTGATCTGTAGGCTGCCCCCCACCATGCTTCACATACCTAATCTGCAGGCTGCCCCCCCATCCCTTACTTACCTGATCTGTAGGCTGCCCCCCATCCTTCACTTACCTGATCTGTAGTTTGCCCTCTCATCCCTCACTTACCTGATCTGTACACTGCCCCCATGCCTCACTTACCTGATCTGTATATGCCCCCATGCCTCACTTACCTGATCTGTAGTCTGCCCCCATTTCCATTACTTACCTGATCTGTAGGCTGCCCCCTCCATGCCTCACTTACATGATCTGTAGGCTGCCCCCATGCCTCATTTACCTGATCTCTAAGCTGTCCCCCACATGCCTCACTTACCTGATCTGTAGGCTTCCCCATCCCTCACTTACCTGGATCTATAGGCTGCCCTCCCCATGCCTCACTAACCTGATCTATAGGCTGCCCCCCATGCCTCACTTGCTTAATCTCTAAGCTGCCCTCCCATGCATCACTTACCTGATCTGTAGGCTGCCCCCCCCATGCCTCACTTACCTGAGCTGTAGGCTGCCCCCCCATCCTTCACATACCTGATCTGTAGGCAGTCCAGAAGTTGCTGGCTGCATGTGCTGCTCCCCTGCGGATTCAGTCAAGAGAGGGAAGCAGAGATGTGGCTTCCTATTACTGCCTTTCTCCACACACAGTGCCACCTACTGGCCGGTATTACAGTTTATTCTGAATATTAAAAGAAAAATATTGTCACAAGCTGAAAAATCCAGGGGGGGGGGGAGGGGGAGGGCAAGTGTCCCAGCCTTGCCCCCTCTGCGGACGCCCATAGATGTACTGTTGCTGTACTTACCTGATCGATGCGCTGCTCTGACTTTCCTGAGAGCGCTGCATACATTTTTCAGGAAGTACCACCTCCATGTTCCCTTCTGCATTCTCAAACAGTGCTTACATTCGGACTTCCTGAAGACGCCAAGGCTGCCTGATAGAGAGAGGGACACTGCACGCTCACATCATTTCCTCTTCTGGCAGTGCCAAATCATCACTGTGATCCCATTCCAGCCCTTTTTGGGGTCGCAGGGGTGATGTGGACCAATCAGGGTACACCTCAGTGTTTAAATAAAGATTTAGCCTGATTGTCATTGCCCTGTCGTGGTTTCCTCTTCGTTCCTCATATAGTAATCCTGACCTGGACAGTTATATCATATTTTCATGTCTCTGGTATCCTGATCTTGGCTAGTTTTATGTTTATGCTTTCTATCTTTTTTTACATTAAACCAAACCATTATAAGGTTCGGTAATACGTCCGTGACATGTACATGCATCAAATATCCATCACAACAGCTATCTTGGAGGAATGCCCATATTGATTTAAAATATATATATATATATATATATATATATAGAGAGAGAGAGAGAGAGAGAGAGAGAGAGAGATAGCGAATAATTAGGCGCACTCCTGGGTTTGAAAAGTGTTTAGTTTATTGTGTCCATAAATTCAAAGTTCAATAGATCTATTGAACTTTGAATTTATGGACACAGTAAACTAAACACTTTTCAAACCCAGGAGTGCGCCTAATTATTCGCTATATATATTTTTTCGCTGGTTATTGCACCCTGGTATGTATCTATAATTTTTATTTTTAAGGAAGAGTGCCAAACCATTTCTATTTATATATTTATATATATATTAGGAGAGAGAGCTGTACAAAGAAATCAAAACGTACATGGCAAGAACTCAATGTTGATAAATTCACTACAAAACTACGAAGTATCAAGAAGTGTATGAATCAAACAAAATGTACAGTACATCTGAACAGGTTTAGCATAACAAATATAGCATGTACTTGCCAAAACCAATTCTCTTGTTCTCATGCTCCATTTTTAATTTACAATTCATGTGATTTTGCCAGCACAAAGTACAAATTAAATTTTTGGATGACATTTTCCCTTTAAGTGTGGATAAAAAAAAAAAAAAGAATACAATTCACCACAAAAAACATTGGACATCAGTGGTGATCTGGAGATTGTAGAGGATTTATTCTAAGCATGAGCAAGATAATATCACTCTAAAGTCTACAACATATTATTCAATGAGGCTGATTCAGCAGAGATTCACTGTATGATTGAGCAAATGCAGAAGATGCCAAAACCAAGAACTGATTTCAATCTCTGAACATGAAACAGCAGAGATTGATAAAGCATCGTAGATGTCTGTAAAATGTTCTATGGTTGCTTATGAAGGAGATTCTGCTGTTTGTGGTATTCTATATTCTGTGCAAGCAGAAGTGGCTATAGATTGTAAAAGATAAACAGTGTGAGGGGGCCCATCTCTAAGATGGTTAACCACAACATGATTTAAATCTGGAACTCGGATAAAAAGAAATGTGTGCTCCAGGACTGTAATCAGTGAATATAGCAGCCAGTTCCCAATATGTTTGTAAGTCTAACTAATTTAAATCACAATGCCATCACCCTACCTCTAACATAAGTGACATTTTTTTATACAAATTATTATTCTGAATTTCTTGGAGTACCAACTTAAATTACAAAGTGAAATAAGGTGCACAATACATAAACTATTGGGTAAAAGTATACGGCCACTCAAAACATTCAAATCAACCATTTATCTGAGCAGTAAAGTTTCATTTCTTAAAATATACAAAAAAAAAAAGCCAGACAAAGCATAATATTAAATTAAAATACAGATTTATTCAGTAAAATGATAATCTTTGGGAATTTAGAGCGAATTCAAAATTAATTTCAAACATAAGGCAAAAACTGCTTTAATGGAAAAAGTACTCAAATCAAGTAGGCTTTCAGTTTAACTACTTTGACCTTAAATTTGAGATTGACCTTGAATTCTCACTTTAGTGAATAAACCTATAAGTGAATAACCATGTAAGTGTTTATTTGTTTTGTAAGTGTTTATTTGTTTCCTTTTTAGACAACATGATTTATCCCATTGAAACATAAAGCATTGCCAAATTTAATGATTTCTAGAAAGGTCGAAGACATAACATAAACTGGAGCATTTAAAAATATGTCTGCATTACTTAAACAGTAATTAAAGGGACACTGCAAACCTCTAAGGCACTTTAGTTTGCTGGTACTTTTATAAAGTAACCTTGTTACACCCCCTGGCTGTCAATCAGACAACTGGTCCGGTTGCTTAGCTCAGTAAAGCTAAATTTAAGAGGCAGCAATTGGTTAGAGCACCTGCCTTCGCAAAGACGTGTCATTGAGCTGGGAAGTCTGTGATTGGACAGCCATAGAAAGTTTAAGCCAAGAGATCTGCAGCTTTTGCAAGCTATTTTTTTTAGATATTTTAGATACAACCCACTACCGAGGACTCCAAGCACTCCAACAGTGGCGTACATACCAGGGTCGCAGGGGTCGCGGCTGCGACCGGGCCCGGCCCACCAGGGGGCCCGGCCGCCCCTGCGACCCGGTATGTACACAGTGGGCCAGCCTCTTCCCCTGGGGGGCCCAGGAGGCGGCCACCCCAGGGCCCCCCGAGGCTGGCCCTGCTGACCCCAGCGGGCAGGTGGCCGGTCGGGCAGGCGGGCGCGCGAGGGAGCACTCAGTGCTTCTTCTTCAGCTCCCTCGCGCACCGCACTGATGCCGGAGCCGGAAGATGACGTCATCTTCCGGCGCCGGCATCCCTACGCGGCGCGCGAGGGAGCTGAAGAGGAAGCACTGAGTGCTCCCTCGCGCGCCGGCCGGCCAGGCAGCCCGCCCACCCAGTGACCTGCCGCCCAGGAGCCCAGCAGCACCACTGGACCCCAGGGAATCCCCCCAGCACTCCAAAAGGTAAGGAGGCTGGGGGGATTAAATTTAAAAAGTGTGTGTGTTAGTGTATGTGTGTGTTAGAGTGTGTGTTAGTGTATATGTGTGTGTGTTAGTGTATGTGTGTGTGTGTTAGAGTGTGTGTTAGTGTGTGTGTGTTAGTGTGTGTGTGTGTTAGTGTGTGTGTGTTAGAGTGTGTGTTAGTGTGTGTGTTAGTGTGTGTGTGTGTGTGTTAGCGTGTTAGCGTGTCAGTGTGTGTGTTAGTGCGTGTGTTAGTGTGTGTGTCAGTGAATGTGTCTGTTATTGGGTGTGTGTCTGCTAGTGAGTGTGTTACTGTGTGTGTCTGTTACTGAGTGTGTTTGATGTCTGTTAGTGAGTGTGTGTTTGTCAGTGAAAGTGTATGTTTTGTGAGTGTGTATGTATGTCTGTCGCTGAGTGTGTCTCTGTCAGTAAATGTGTGTGTCTGTTAGCTAGTGTGTATGCGTCTGTTCGTGAGAGTGTGTGTGTGTGTCTTCAGCATTTACCTTTCTCCAGCGTCGGACTCCCCAGTGTCCGCCACTCAGCTCCGAAATGCACATGCGCGGCAAGAGGCGCGCGCGCGCATTTAAACCACCCATAGGAAAGCATTACTCAATGCTTTCCTATGGATCAGTGTCTTCTCACGATTTTCACAGTGAGAATCGTGGAAGCTCCTCTAGCAGCTGTCAATGAGACAGCCACCAGAGGCTGGATTAACCCTCAGTGAAACATAACCGTTTCTCTGAAACTGCTATGTTTTCAGCTGCAGGGTTAAAACTAGAGGGACCTGGCACCCAGACCACTTCATTGAGGTGATGTGATCTGGGTGTCTGTAGTGGTCCTTTAAGTGTGTGTGTGAATACCGCGGTCGCGGGGTCGCAGCCCTGCAACCCCTGCAACCAGGTGCCCGCCACCATGTGTTGCGACCCCGACCCGCGCCAAGTAAGCGTGGGGGGGGGGCCCACGGATCAATCTTTGCACCGGGGCCCCATGGGTCATGTGTACGGCACTGCACTCCAACCAACACCATCAGCACTGCAGACTTATCCCTACCCCACAAGCATGAGCCAAGGCTTCAAGAAAGGGTCAAGCAGGTCTGTTTAATGAGCACACAAAAGCAACAGCACTCATGCATAAACACAACTCCTCCTCAGAGGAAAACAAAATTACAATTAAGTTCAGTCAGTGTTTGAATATATTGGAAGTTGCAGAACTGTGCCAGTACCATTTAAAGGGCCAGAACAGTCTTTTAAAACACCAATAAGTCCAAATGGTGTTACTAACTGGCAAAATCTCCCAGGGGCCATAGCCATACGGCAAGAGGCTGGTAATTAGTCCTCTCCAGGCACAAGTGGGGAAAGGCACTTCGTCACACATCTTCCCTCTGGGGGGCAGACTAACCAGGTAGCTGACCTTCTGTCGGTCAGAACCTGAGTTAGTTGAGTAGCCCACCTACAACAAACAGTTAACAGAGTAGCCCACCCACAATACACCGTTACTGCACCTGGTGCTTTCTGGTGTCCGGCTCTGGCCTGTATGTCCCAGGTTGCTGAGGGGAACTAGTGGGCAGAAGCCAGCGGCGCTGTGCTCTGATGCCAGCGCTTCTGCTGGGTTGGCTGGTGGGTATTCAGGTTCTCACCAAGAGGGCAAGGGAGGGCAGAGGCTCTGCCCGGATGCCAGCTCTTCTGCTGGAAGGGGGTCAGTGGAGGCTAACATCTTCTCCACTAAACTCAGTAGAGGGTTAGGGGTTGGCTGTGGAGGGGAGGGGTCGCCTACCGCCTCCTCCTCCTGGTACTCCTGCAGCCGCTGGGGAGCGAGACCGGTTTCCTCCTCTCCCTGGGGCTCCAACTGCAGTTGGGGATCTGGGCCGGCTGCCAAGCATTCCTGTAGGGCCGGTGGAGAGTTCTTGGTCCCAGCTCCACCTGCCGTTTGGGGGTCCTCCAAGGACCAGTCCATGAGCTTCCCCACCTCAGCTACCTCTGGTTGCTGTTGGGGAGGGAGACCGGTTGACTCTTCTCCCACTAACACATTCAACTGCTGGGGAGGGAGGATGACACCTTCTGCTCCCTGTGTTGCACACTGCTTCTGGGGAGAGAGACCGGTTGTCTCCCCCTCTTGCAAGGTACGCTGCCGCTGGGGAGGGAGACCGGTTGTCTCCCTTCTCTGTTCCACACACTGCCACTGGGGATCTGGGCCGGCTGCCCATCATCCCTGTAGGGCTTGTAGAGAGACCTCGGTCCCATCTCCACCTGCCATCTGTGGTTCTTCCCAGGACCAGTCTATAAGGTCCCTCAACATTTGAGAATAAGGACCACCTGCCTCCACGCCCGGTAACTCCGGCCGCTGCTGGGGATCTGGGCCGGCTGCCCAACATCCCGGTGGGCCCGGTGGAGAGACCTCGGTCCCATCTCCACCTGCCTTTTGTGGTTCTTCACAGGACCAGTCTATGAGGACCCCTACTTCGGGTACCTCTTGTGGCTGCTGGGGAAGGAGACCGGTTGTCTCTTCCCTCTGCACGGTGCACTGCTACTGGGGAGGGAGGTCACTGCTCTCCTCTCCCTGTGACTCGGTCTGCTGCTGGGGAGAGAGACTGGTTGTCCCCAGCCCCAGTCTCCACAATCTGAACTCACATTCCTGTGCTGCTTGGTTCTCTTCATCCAACGCTTGCATGATACGGACGATTACCTCTTTCGAAGGGTCTGGGCCATACTCGACTAGCCGCCTCTTTACCTCCGCAATGTAAGCGTCGCCCTCATAGCAATAGGTCATGTTTGCTTGGC